AGCAGCAGCTGATACGCTTCAGCCTAGTTGCTTCTCTGCTTCCACGTCCTGGACGAAACCCAACAGCCCAACTTGCTCCCAGCCTCTCCTCCCACCTGACCTCAACTCACCTTCCAGCTGCTGCTTCGACCCTGGGAAGAGCAGAAAAACCACTCTGGACACCACCTTCCTCCCAGGAGTGATCCGGAAGAAAAAGCTCCTCTCCTCCCATCCTTTCTAGCAGTGCTCTACTCGATGGTTTTAACTCCTTTAAGCTCCTTTTGAAAGCCTATTAAGGGCTTTCTAGTCACTGATAAGTGACTGCCGCTCCTAGGAAGTAAAAGAACAGGCTTGTCTGTCTCTAACGTGTTTGTAAGATGTTTTCAATGATTAAATGGCTACTAGGTCGTTTTCCAGTCCTAGCAACCTATCTTTGCAACTGATCCATGTGAAAAGTGACAATAAAGTAGGTTGTGAAGATTAGCTATGTGCTGAGCCCTAAATGTATAGAGTTGGAAGAGAACAACTCTATAAGCAGGAGACCCTATTCTATTCCAGACAAATGGCTGTCCAATGTCCTCTTCAAAAACCCCATTGATGCAGCACCCACAACTTCTACAGGCAAAGCATTTCCACTGATTGTTGTCACTGAAAGGAAATTTCTCCTTGATTCTAGGTTGGATGTCTTTTTGATAAGTCTCCCTCTTTGTGCTCCTCTGAGGGGCATTGGATAATAGGTCCACCCCCTTTTTTCTGTTTCAGCCCCTCAAATATTGAAAGACTGCTATGATGTAACCCCAGTCCTTCTCTGTGTTAGGCTAGACCAGGGATCTGCAACCTTAAATACTCAGAGCCATTTGGTTAGGTTTCCTACAGGGAGGGAGGGAGGGAGGGGGAGAGGGAGAAAGATGAAAAATAATGGGGGCTTTGGGCTACCAGATTGGGAGCTTTATTATCAAGCAGTTGTATTAACATGGGTGAGGGAATGGATAAGACTTAGACACAAGATTACTGTTTTTGAAAGGCCTTGGAGGAGAGTTAGGATATTAAATTTAGTAGCTGGAACAGTAAAATTGTACAATGGGCAAGAACAGGCAGCTCTAAGTTGATTGGTTGGAGAGTGCTGGCTCCTGTATGAGGCAATCTACACTATGATTAGTTGCTGTGGGTGTAAAGGGGGAGTTTCCCATTTTTCCCACTTTTTTTCTTCTCTCTGCTCTGTATCCTATTTGGATTTACCTCAAGATGTTTCTGTGTTCCTGACCATCTTGTTTGCTGTAAATATGTTAAATGTATTCATTTATACAAAACTACAATTTTGCCTCAGTGTCTCTGATTTCATTTGGAAACTTGCTGCATAATTCCCTGATGGAGGACTGTCCCCATTACACCCAGAAAATAAATCCATTTCCAGTGGATGTCATTTGCTGGAAACATCATAGGGAGGAAATAATTCTATTCTTATCTAGCTGTGGATTAGCCAGATGGATGTAAAGGATCTTGGTGAGAAAAAACATTTCTGCTTTGGGAGGTCCCCTTCCTCTGGGACTGATGGAGGAGTTTGGGATTATGAGCAGACACAAATGAATGGTTTTGTGAGCCTGAGCTCTTCCCAAGAAGCTCCCATGGGGAGCACAGTCGCTTCTTAAAAGACTCCTCAAAATGGTTTGGAAACTGCATTTGTTTGGAGAAGGCTGAAGCGGATGTGGCTTCTACAAATTTGGAGTTAATAGACTCAATGCATGATGAACTGGACTTTCTTAAGAAGACTGGAGAATGGACCTGCCATATCTAACTGAAAAACCATTTGGAAAATGGATTGACCAAGAGGTTTTATGATTTGGGGAAATAAGACACAACTGTTCTTATTATTCACAACTAAAATCTTAAGAAAACATTTTATTAATAAGAATCAAACGTAGATAAGATACAGATAATCAGAGTTGGAAGGAACCTTGTAGGTCAACTAGTCCAACCCACTGCCCAAGCGGGAGACCCTACACCATTTCTGATAAATGGCAGTCCAATCTCTTCTTGAAAGTCTCAACTGATGGCGCTCCCACAACCTCCGAGGGCAAGCTGTTCCATTCGTTGATTGTTCTCATTGTCAGAAAGTTTCTCCTTGTTTCCAGGTTAAATCTCTCCTTGTTCAGTTTCCATCCATTCTTCCTTGTCTGGCCTACAGGAGCTTGAGAAAAAAGCTTGACCCCTTCCTCCCTGTGGCAGCCCCTCAAATATTGGAAGACCGCTATCGTGTCTCCCCTGGTTCTTCTCTTTACTAGACTAGCCAAGCCCAGTTCCTGCAACCGTTGGTTGTATGTTTTCGTTGTATGTTTTAGCCTCCAGTCCCCTAATCATCCTGTTTGCTCTTCTCTGTACTTTTATTTATTTATTTCATCCCTGACAGATCCGACAATGATTGTGATTTGTGGTAAATAAGCAGTTCTAAACTTTATACAAATTAAACGGAATAGTAGATTATTAATAAAGTGCTTTGATGTTTAACTTTGTTGCTGGTTTGTTGCTGTTTAACTTTGTTGCCTGTTAATTACAATGCCTTTATTGATCATAGATACCTTGTTTCTTCAACAATATGGCCTCCACCCATAGGAAGGCCCAGCATGATTTCTAGGCATGAGGTGAAATTAAGCCCTGCCCCCAAAATTTAGGCCTATTTAAACCATGCGTTTCCCCGCCATTTCTCACATCATTTGTTAGAATTACACAAGATGAAGAGAAATGGGGGGAGGGCAGGGGGGGGAGAAAACTTGCCTTTAGGAGTGCCCTGCAAGTAGCCTAGGCTAGAATACCCCAATCTACTACTGATAGAAGCGCTCACATGCACTCCCCTTGCCACGAAGCAATTTCTATCGGCAGATGGAAGCTCCCCAAAGACAGAGTCACCAGCCGTTTCTATCTGCCGATGGAAGGTCCACAAAGGGGACTTGCTGAACAGTGCCTCTGGAGGCTACTAGAGATTCTCTGATAACAACAGCCATACCTCCTCCCCGGCCCTGAGGTCTAGAGTAGTGCCATACTCAATAACCTTTTGATAAGTCTCTCTCTGTTACTCTTTGTGCTGTTCTGAGGGGCATTGGACAATAGGTCCACCCCCTTTTTTGTTTCAGTCCCTCAAATGATATAACTCCAGACCTTCTCTGTGTTAGACTAGATCAGGCATGTCCAAGGTCCGGTCCTGGGGCCAATTGCCACCCGTTTTCAAATTTATAGCAGCCCGCAGCCTCTTCTCCCTGCCGGCTCAGCCTGTCACTCATCCCTGCCGGACGGTGTTTTTCTCATTTAATGTTAATGGTTCAAAGAATGTCAGGATGAATGGTCACCCCTCCACACATTTTCAACTCACCAAATCTGGCCGTCCTTGCAAAAAGTTTGGATATCCCTGGACTAGATATATCCAGTTCCTGCAATAGTTCATTGTAGAATTACTTTGGAGTACAAATACAGAAATTACAAGAAAGAGAGTATGTTATAGAGCATTGCACACCAGAACAGCTAGACACAAGAACAGTTTTTTCCCGAAAGCCATCACTCTGCTAAACAAATAATTCCCTCAACCCTGCTCAACTATTACAAAGTCTGCACTACTATTACTGTTAAATCTTGGCATCACTCCTTATCACCCATCTCCTCCCACTTGTGACTGTATGACTGTAACTTTGTCGCTTGTATACTTATGATTTATATTGACTGTTTCCTAGTATGATTGATTGCTTATTGTACCCTATCACTATCATTAAGTGTCATACCTTATGATTCTCAACTCTTGAAGAATGTATCTTTTATGTATACTGAATTTACACCAAAACAAATTCCTTGCCTGTCCAATCACACTTGGCCAATAAAGCTATTCTATTCTATTCTATTCTATTCTATTCTATTCTATTCTATTCTATTCTATTC